CAATTTTTTTCAAATTGCAGCCCAAAAATTAAATTTGAATATTTTAATTTTTAATAAAATTAAAATGGTTTCTCTTTCTCTCTCTCATTCACTCATCACAAATTGAGTCTTCCAGATACAATTGATCTCCTGTGTGCTTTGTTGTTCACTGCTGTAAAAAAGTTCTCTAAACATCTATAATTCTGCAATATTTTGTATGCAGTTAATTCATCTAATCCTAGGATGACTAGGTTTTCTCTTTTTCTTTATATGAGGGAAATCTAATATTAAAGGTACAGGCCAAAATTACACTAACATTTATAATTAAAGAAAATATTTAATACATTCCACAAAAACTACATACTTTTGTTTATTTCTCAACATAATCACCATAAACATTGAGACATTTATCCCAGCGTGACACTAGTTTGAACATCTCTTCACAGTACTGTTGCTTGTCAAGTTGCTTGATGTAGTCCTGATGGTGTCTTCCAATTCCTCCTGATCTGCAAAGCGTTTCCCTGCCAAAAATTTCTTTAAAGGTCTAAATAAATGAAAATCTGAGGGGGCTAAATCTGCACTATATTTCACACATCAAATAAAACCAAACTATGGTTGACACAGCAGAATTGGGAGGTCCTGCAACATCCTCTGTTTAGTCCAGATTTAGCCCCCTCAGATTTTCATTTATTTGGACCTTTAACGGAATTTTGTAGACCTCTGATTTTTCATTTAACGTAAGAGTATCTCTATCATTGCATAACACTCTTCTTAGTGTTGGTTGTGGGGTTATGGGCAAAGTAAAGCCATGCTTTCTAAAAGGCGTGTTATTTTTTAGCAATATAGGGCCCAAAAACGGTATTGGAGGTACTATCTTTAGTTCTTTTTTGTTACAGAGGAAAGACTGTTGAAATAATTTGTTGATGAAAACATTTTGAAGGTTACTTTGATTATACCACTCGTTTCCTGAGCTGGCACATTGACTTCAGGGTTATTGATTTTTGAGTGCAGGTGAAGTGAAGAGGGTAATGCTGGTTGAATCGAAGGACATCTCAAAGAAAGGATTCCAGAAGTGCTACCATGACTTTTACATTGCTGGCAGATGTATATTATTACAAGGAGACTTATTTTGAAAGAGAATATATTTCAGTATTGTACCACTAATAACTTTTAGACTTATGGATCCAGTTCCAGAACTTTTGGATACTACTTCATAGATATTATTATATGACACTTACACTAGTTTTTGCTGTATTGGAATACAAAAAACTATAAATAATCCCTAGTATTTTTAAGCATCCTCATTTTATCAGGTCTATCTGAGAAAGCCTGAAAGTACTATAAATTATTTAAAATGAGAGACTTATTATTGAATATTATTATATATTTTTGTTTAATTTATTTTATTTTATCATTATTATTATTCAGTACAGAAAAGTTGACAGCAAAATATAAATTATATTGTTTATTCTTATTACATTCTCTATTCTGTGCCAGTCTTTTCATCTTAATTTTTTAAATGATTAAACTGAATTTCAAAATTAATTCTAATTATTAATCTTAGCACAAAATGATGGCCTAATTATGTATTTTTATACTCAATTAAGATTTTTAATTAAATTAAATATGTAATCTGAAAATTTATGTCCTTGATTAACTATAGAATTTGATTTGGCTTATATGTATTATATACTTATTACATTGGATATGTGTTTCTGTTAAGAAATGATCAGAGAAAATGAGACAAGTTAGTTATCAGAAAATTAGCAAATTAATAAAAATATCCTATTGCTTATTCTATTAATTTAAATATAGCATAAATAAAAAAGGTCCATAGAGTTTGGATATAAATATAAATAAGTCAACTCTACATTTTCCAACTCAGTCTTCTAAAGATACATTTACAATTTACTTAATTCAGCTTTTAAATATTCACTAATTTAAATTTCAAATTGAAACATATAGGAATATCTTTTAGTAACTTTATTTAGTGTGGGATTTGCTATAGTGAGATTTACAATATATACTATACTATACTAGAAGATTCAGTTAATGCACAATGATTCAGTGTGATGCATCATGGCTAGCATAATATAGGCTATATAAGAAAATTTATAATGGGTTTTAAAAAAATTATAACAAAATTTGATATAAATGTAAGTAAATGATAAAAAGTGGATCAAAACATTTTAAATTCATTATTAACTGTCTTATGTAACTTCTACTAAAACAAATTTTAAAACCTTTTAGAAAAATACAGAGAAATTCATATTTACATGCAAAAACTTATCTAGTTATTGAAAACTTTAAAGCAAAAAAAAAAAAAAACTGTACCTTACAATGCTGCCAATTTAGATTAAGAAAAATTTGGAAAAATGGTTAGCAGCACTTAGTCCAGCCATTCACCCCCCCATTGCCTACTTGTTTTCTTTTAGTTCAATACAATTTGGATTTTTTCATGTATATTTGAAAGAGTTCAGCTTTTGAATAATAATCCAAACAAATAATGTAACATTAACTCAAGTGTGTTAGAAAATATGGTTTGGTGTGACTGAGAGCTGCAAACAAAAAAGAAGGGAGATGAGTCCAAATAACATCAGATAATTTTTTCTCTTTTAACAGAAAACATTTTTTAAAATTTAGTTACAAAATAAAATAATAGAAGTTTAGATTTAATGACTTTTTTTTTATCCTCTTGTAGGTTTTTATGAATAGTATTATTTTATTAAGTCAGTTTAAATTACTTTTTGAGTGAAAAAAATCCTTTTCAAACAAATTTTTCTTTTATTAAATATGTTTTCTGATTAGTTTGGATTCAATTAGTGCAGTGATTTTCTGGAATGTATTAAGCAGATTAACTGGGTATTCTTAAATACAATAGAAAATCAAAAAGTAATGCCTTTTTATTAATAATAATTTTTTGGTATTGTTCTTCATTACAAAAAGTGAATGGCCTGAAGCAAGAGTATTCTGGCTACACTATTAAACCTTTGAACAGCTGATGTCTGAGTGAAGAAAAGAAAATAGCATTCACTGAGTCCATATAAAAAAAAAAGTAAAAGAGCAAAGGAATGTGATTTTGTTTTTGTGGTAATGAGTAAGAAAATGTAAGGCTTACATATTGAGGATTGTGTAGACATCTCCAACATTCAAAGATGGTACAAAATATTTGCATAAAGTTGTCAATCTCTGATGGATAAGCCTCATTTTGAGTGCCCATTAAGCACCATTACTCCAGAAAAAGTCCAGAAAGCCTACTGCTGCATGGAGGTGTCGTTGCAAAAAAAACCCCATCTTATTCACCTGAAGATCAAGTCCAAACAGTTTGACATTTCTTTTGGTACATTGTATGGCATTGTGCATGGAAATCTTGGGTACAGAAAGTCAGCATTCACTGAGTGCCCAGTCAATGACAGAAATGCAAACTACCATCAGGATGATGCCATTTTGAGATCATTTGAAATTATGTCACTGAGAAGAGAGACAATTCATTAAAATCATTATCACTCTGGACAAAATGTCAAAGCAGCTGTTCAAAAACTGACTCCATTTGCAAGAAACATTATTCTACAGATCCAGAATGTTTAATCTTGTTACACATTGAGACAAATGCTTGAACTGGCATGATTCCCACATGGAAAAATAAACTACTAAGCATACTTCACTTTATATATTCACTAATTTCAAATAAAATCAACTTCTGTCTACAAAAAATTTAGATGTGTTACTTTTTGATTTACCCTTGTATTAATTACATACAATGATTATTTAGTATGGAAATTTGTATCAGAATTGGAATTTTTAATGTTTTCTGTATATATAATTAATTAATTTCCTTCAGAAACTAAAATTGCATTTTTTATATTGTAGGGCCCAGTAGGAAAGGATGGAATGCCAGGACCTAAAGTAAGAATTAATTTTTTTTATTTCAAAACTCAGATCTTTTAAGTTTATTAAATTGCAAAAATATCTAGAATATCTTTTAAATGATTAATATACATGTATGTTTTATGTAGAAACATATATTTGTAAAGGTTAAAGTTGCTTTTATATATAATATTTCAAAAAACTAAGGCTGAAGTACAACTATAAAATAGTCTTTCTAATTTTATAAATATATAAACAGGATGACCCAAAAGTCATTTAATTGAAGTATATTTTAAGAACACTTAAAACAACAGAACAGTTTGGAGTGACTGCATATTGTTCAAAATTCAGTTGCTTTCAATAAATTGAGTGAATCATAAATGATAACATACAGCTATTTCAAAGCAGTTTTATTCATTCTTAAAATATAGTGTGTTAACTGATTTTTGACACATCCCATATTTTAATTTTCTAATAGTTTTAAGTCATAATATTTTAGTTTTAATAAAGGCAATGTTTAATTAAAAAACAAAAACTAAGCAATTAAAATTTTCTTGAGAACTTAGCACCATAATAATGCTACTTCATGATACCAAAATTATTTACTTTTTGTTCTTTTAAAAGAATGGCTTCTGCTCCATTTGTGAATAAGAATGTTCATGAATGTGATGTAGAATATTATGTCAGATAGAACAGAACTATAAATTCTCATATTTTAAATTATATATGTAAATTTTTATTTGTTAAAAACTTTTACATATATAATTTATAATATTTTTAAGTTTGGATTGAAATTACTAAAATTTTTTATGGGGGGAAAACTATTTAAAGATTAAATAATGGTTTTTTACGCTATATTCTTATATATAAAAATATTAAAACTTTTATGGAAAGAACTATAATTTTTTAATAAAGAATTTTAATAATTCTTTCAGTTTATAGGAAAAATTTATTTTCTTATAAATTTGGAAAGAATTATTAAAATTAATGAAATGTTTTTTATGCTTTAATTATTTCATGTATACTAGGGTGATAGAGGAGAGAGAGGATTCATAGGTGTACCTGGACTTCCTGGATTTCGTGGACCAGTCGGGGCAAAAGGAGAGCCAGTGAGCACTAACTGTACTTTTTCTTCTAGGTTTTTCATCATAAGAACTAACAGATTCTTGGACTAACTGAACTAACTACTTGAATTTACATTTTCATCTTTTAACAGCTTGCTCTACTGTGAATTTCTTTAACAATTATAACAAGTTATTTCTAGTTTTCAGCTAATTTTATTACAATTATGATTATTATTGCTTTAGCATAATTAATATATTTATGATAGAATATATATAAATCTTTTAATTTAGTTACATAAAAAAATTCTCATTATGAAGAATCTGTAGTTGTGAAGTGCAATTTAATGAACGAAAAAATCATATTAAATTTAAATTTAATAAGTAATTTCTTTTTATACTATAAAGGTAAAGGAATCCTTTTAAAGCATGAAAGTAAATATAAAGATGTTTCTTCAAGCATATCATAAAGACACATTGAGGAGAAAGGGTTTAAGGTCCTCCCTATTCATGGCTTATCCAGAGAAAAAGTAACAGTCTCATGACAATTCCAATTTTATCCAGTCTGTATGAGGATGGCTAAACTTCAGTCTATCACAAACTATTATTGGCAGAAACCAGTTACCTCTAAAATTCAATCCCAGTTAATTTCCTTAATAATCTAGTTACTCCAGTATCAACTACTAGACATTCACAGATCTCTTTTTTACACTGTATAAATAATATGGTGGTAGTTAAGTTATATCAGTTTACAGATTGAGTCATAATGAGAACAAATTGTAAACAATTATTCATTCAATTAAATAATTATCTCAAACTACCAATTAGTGGCAATGTACAAGGTTTATCAAACTGTATTGGAGTGTTTTTCATGTGATCTTTTCTAAGCTCCAAAATGGTTTGATAAGCTTCATATATCTTCATCAATTAGTAGTTTGAGATAATTATTTAATTCATTAGAAGCAGCTATATAAATTATGCATTCATTTTAAATTTATTAATTTTGAAATATGCTGTTATTTGGCTAATTGAACAATCAGTTTGTTTTTTTCTAGCCAAATATATTTGACAACTAGATTATTTATGAGCTAGAATTAAATTAATTATTCATTAATTAAACTAATTAAAGTAGTTAATTTGTAATGTTATGTGATTAACAATCTAGATCTGGAAGCAAAGAATGGAGAAAGTATATGTACTGGTTACATATCTGCACAATAGGCAGAAGTCACAGAGTCAAGTCCTACTCTAGATTGATCTTTTCATCCAAAATTTTCTAAATTATTTAACACTGAAAATTAATTTCTAATTATTAATCTGTGTGTAGGATAGAGGTTTAACAGCCTGTTTCTAGATCAAATTCCATAGTTTAATTAATCAATAATTAGCTTAATATTAGCCTGTTTTTAAATATAAAATTAGGCTACGGTTTATATTATATCTGTGGCTTGGAAGAATAAGGACCACTTTCAGGGGTTAATGCCCTTATTCTTCCAAGCCACAGATATTGTTTTGCTCTTTTTTATATTTCATGATTTGAATGCAAAATCTGAAGTTTACATCTGTTTATGAAAATCATAATTTTGTTTAGTTATTAGTAAGTCAGTATATACTGAATCAATGATATTAATTTATGCAATATTCTTTATTTTGTTAAATGAGTTTAAATTCTTGTTGTATAGGCTTGAAATGTAATAAAAGGTTTCCTTTTTATGAAGTCAGAATAGAAAATTGAAAGTGAATATTTTTGGAACATCTTTTGGATTCCGGTATTATATTGGATTCAGTTAATATGACGGCTTAGTTATTGAAACATACTATTCCTGAATCAGAATTCAAATTTACAAAAAAAAAGTTTTTTTTAACAATTTTTCTGTGTTCAGTTTTTTGGCAACAAGTAAGTTATTAAAGAATTTTAAGATATTTGAGGAAATAAGTTAACTTAATACAATAGACTCTTCATAAGTTGAATGTTCTTAACTTGAAATTCTTACTAACTTGAATTTTATTTTTGTCTCAATTTAACTCTTATACAGATTCAATGCATTTCTGTGTTTTTGTAAGTCAAAGTAGTTTTGAGATCATGTTTTGCTAATTCAAAATTTAAGATCTGCTGTCTTTGTTTCATGTCAAATTTTCAAAATAGCTGCCAACTATTCTGGACTCATCATGAGATCTCAGAATTTGGTAAAAATGTTTAAATTCTGTAATATCCAAATTGAGGCCTATTCTTCCAACATTTACTCAACACAACGATCAACTTTTTGGAATATATATATTAAAGCAGACTAAAGAATAGCCAACAGCATTTTGATATTAGTGAGCATAAAAAGATGTTAAATCTCTCAACTTTTTACTTCCATAATAAAACTCCTAAAATCGACTCTTTGGGAATTGGCAAGCTTAATTTTCAAGGTGATGGACAATATTATCATAAAGTTAAAGATTAGTATTGTGCAGAGGCATAATTAAAGTAAAAAAAAATTAAGTAGATAACATTTTAATGTAGTATATTTGTTTGAAGAGCTAGCTGAAGTTGATATGACTTCATAAGGATTGCAATGTGGCCAGTGTGGTTTTTGCTTAGAATAATTGCCAAGCAAAGTATAGAGTATAAATAAATAGTAAATAAAGTAATTATTGTTGACTTTACAAGAAAATTGTACATGGACTCTACAATATCTAATGATGAATTCATGTATCAAATACTTAGCACTTATTCACTGTACAGAATTGATAACATTAAAATTGACAGTTACTTTCTAAATAATTCTCCAAGAGTCATTATTATATAGGAAGAGAATTATCAGAAATTTATCAGATACCTAGATATAAGTTTAAGTGAAGTATCTAATGATATCAATTAAAACATGATTAACATATACAAAAAATTGGAGAGAACTAAAGATGAGGCATACATATGTCTTTGGTGGTTTCTAGAAAAATTGAAATGACAGATGAATGAATACATGTGGCATGTAAAGAATTTTTCATGATTTTTAAAGATATTCTTCATAAGTTTAGACAAATGAAAAGCTGTTGAGTGAATTTGTAATTGCAGTTTGAATATATATATATATTTATATTGTCATTTGATTAAATGAAAACTATTTGTTAGGAATAAACTTGAAAACACTATGAGCCAGCCATATCTTACTATATATACTTAAATCTTGAACATTTATTTACTACACACTTGAGGGATTTCAAATTCTAAATAAATAAATTGATGAGTCAATCAGAAATCAACTTCCAGCATTACCAAAGCTATTCTTTCAAGTGAATTTTTTTATTTGAATAATGGATCTTTTGGTTGAAATGCTTCTGGCCTTTTTCTCAAAGATAGATCCAGGAGCAAATCTTAGGAAGCCAATTTTTAATTTGTGTAATAAAATAAAATTATATGATTTATTCCCTTCACAATTACTTAAAATAAACTACATAAATATAAACATCATAAAAATATAGCAAAATTAAAAAGAAATAATAAAAATATTAAAATATAAATATTATTTTAATAGAAATAATAAAGTCCCTGTTAGCGATAAAAAATATTACTGTGTACATCATCCCTATAACCTTTCTCTAGGTCTGTCCTAGTTTCCTCCCATTTGTACAATCTACAATCTGCAAACTTTTTGTGTTAATATCCTGTAATCGTACAATAAACCATAGCCTAATTATTACAGCTAAGCATAAATATTAATTAATAATTTATAATTAATTTCTTATTATTAATCTTAGCACAGTATGATGGTTTAACCACTTACCTTTAGGTCAAATTCCTAATTTAATGAAAAGTTTAGTTTCAGATAAAAATAAGCTGATTTTTAGAGCTTATGTTTTATAAAATATTCAGAAAAAAATACCAATGATAGTTACATACTTTAAACTTATCATTTTATTAGCATTCATTGAAAATTAAAAAACAACATTACTATGATTCATTTGAATGTTGTTCATATTTTCTCTTTGAATTTGAACAAAAAAGGTTTGAACATTTGAGATAGTCTATAAGTCTATATTTTCATTTTCTCCAAATAAAATATTTTTCAAATTATATTTGATAATTTGGAATAGGAATAATGAATGAATGTAGTTTTGCTTTAGAAAAAATATTTATTTACATTTATATATTTTTAATTTTTGGAAATTTTTAACTTAAATCAAATTCTCTATTTAAATTTTTATGAAGTGTATATAATTCAATTCTGTTTACCATTTATAAATAAATACAAATGTTGATTTTAGGGTGATAAAGGAGATAAAGGAGATAGAGGTTTGACAACAACATTAGATGGAAATGCATTCCCTACTGGTTTCATAGAAGGACCTCCTGGACCACCTGGACCTCCAGGACCTGCAGGACCACCAGGAAGAAAGGTAGAAAAATAAATGAAGAGCATTTTTATTAAAAGTTAACTGATTTCTAATTTAAATCAATTTATAATTTTTTTCAAAAATGTCCACATTCTTATTAACCAAAGCCAAACTTTTCTCATTAACAAGACTAACTATAATCAAACTTTTTCACTATACAGATATCTCCGTAAAGATTTAATATATCTAATCTTGAAAAATATAAAGTTGAAACAAACATTCTTTGTTTTATAAATGGTTAGGGAGACATAGGAATTCCCGGACCACCCGGGGAGCATGGAGATAAGGGAGAGAAAGGCGATAGGGGAAGAAGAGGAAAGAGGGTAGGATTAACAGAAATATATGTTTTAATATTAAATTTTATGTATGAGTTTCTGTATTGGCATGAATGAATACTAACTGAATGATATTTTCTTCTGCAAAATTTCTTTTCTCTCACTTTTATAACCCTTTTTACTATTTTCATATATTCATTTATTCTAAAATGTTTTATCAATGTTGGGTAAGATATTTCAATTTTATACATATGTTCTTGAAGCTCTCATCACCATCTAAAGGTTGACAAAAATTTATATTACATGCTATTGAAATTAATATTTTTATCATATTTATCATGGTATTGGGTTATTTTTTAACAAAAGCTTAGAAAACTAATCCTCTCTCCTTTTAAATTGCATCCTGTATACACATGGCAGTCTACATAACAGATTTTTATCTCAAACTTGACTAACAAGTAAGTAACTGGTGGACTTACATTCTTTAAAGTTTATTTTAATTTTTGTTTAATTAAATTTTAATATAAATAAAAATTTTTAAACTTTTCTAAATAAATAAAATATTTTAAAATTTAGGTTATTTAATTTTTAATTTTAATTACATACATGCATTATGAGGACTAATAAGATTTCCATCAATAGGGAAAGGATGGAAGACCTGGTAAGGCTCGAGGACCACCTGGAATACCAGGTTTAAAGGGAGACAAAGGTAATTCTGGTGTAAAAGGTGAAAAAGGAACAAGAGGAGATATTGGACTACCTGGACCAAGGGTATAAAAAGTTTTCTGAATTTCTATCAAAAACCAAATCCATTTATTTAACAAATATATCTTGAGATCACAAATAAAATTGTATAATTTCTGAATTTTAAGGGTCTAATGGGTCCTCCTGGTTTATATGGAAAAAATGGAGAGATTGGTCCACAAGGCCCTCCAGGATTGCAAGTAAATTTATTATATTTTAAATAGAACAAAATGAAAAAATATTGAATAAACTGCAGTTTATAGTATATTTTCTTTTAATATTTTTCATGAATGTAGTTAGTTATTATGTTCTAACAGCATAACATTTAACAATATAAACAGATAGAAATTTATCAGAAATAATGTGTTTTTTCTAATTTTATGATTAAATCAAATTTACATTTTCAATTTTCTACATGAAAGATTTTTAAGGGATTTTTCAAAAATAATAAGCATCCTTCTTGTGGGAGGGAGTCTTATCTTTTTATTTATTGAATACTTTGAGGAATATATCTCAATTTAATTATGAATAAACTCTATACAAAAGAATTAGTTAGCTGACATTATAAAATAAGATTATAGTGGTAATCAATCAGAGTAGTCCTTTTCTTATAACAGAACCAGTGAGACATTGTGAAACATTGACATCACTTCATCAAACGTGGAGACTAACAACTCAAAATTGTAATTTTTCAATACTGCACAAGACAAAGAAATTCACAAATGATTTAATAATGTTTGCAAGTATCAAACAATGAAAAGGAATTAGATATAATTTAGTTTTGTATTATGTCATGTTTAATCGTAATATATTAAACATGATGATTAAATTGATAGAAATTGATACATATATTTGTACTTTTAGATTCAAATTTTTCAGTTTGAGAATATATTTCTTTAACTAAGACATTGTGTGACTTTGTTGTATCACAATAGAATTGAGGTAGAGCCATAAAGAAAGAAGTAATTCTGCACTTGTCAGGCACAGAAGAGTCAATCCTGTACCTGACATTTGTGGACAAGTGAACTTTGCACTTGCTACAACAAAAGAGGCAATCCTTATACTTGTCAGCCATGGGAGAGTTGACCTTTGCACTAGCCTGGTACTGAGACAGATACAGAAAGAAAATCCTTGCACTGGCTGGGTACAGAGAGAGGTCCTTGCACTTGCTGATATGGAGAAACAATCCAAGAACAAAGCAATTGCCATTGATTGCTTTGTTCTTGTGTTTTGTTCATTTTTCTCACCTACTTTCTTTTAGGCACATGCAATGTTTTTATTTTTTATCTCTAGTCCTAAATTCCATTAGATGCACTTGTGGAGCAAGGATGTTGTCACTTTAATACCTCTCTCTACATTTAAAACAAAGTCATGGACCCTCATTATATTTTTAGACTTTTCATTGCAATTAATGCAAAATTACAAAGTTTTCTCAAAATTGGACCATTAAATTTTGAGAATGAATTCAATTCTATAAGCCCATAGAATAGTGGCTGCTGGTGGTCTGTGGACCACTGATGGTCCATGAGAAAATTTTGGCAGTCTGTGGAGAAATTTGGACATTGATCAACTCAAGGTTAAGCACAGTACTATGAAAGAAATAGAAAATGCTTGCTTTTTCTCACTCATTGGGGATTTTTATTTGAATCTAAACAAACATGAAGTGATTGTTATCAATAAATAATAATGTCAATAAATCAACAAATAATGTTGTGAGTGTGATTGTCATCCTTTATAGAAAAGAGCCAAGAATCCATAAACTTATTTCAAATATGCAGCAACAAACTTGACACGAATTCTTTATAATTAAACAAGTGAATTATATATTAATAATATAAAATGGAACTTTTATAATCATTATTCTATAGATGTTTGTATTGTTTAAGAAAACTCATGATATTGATCTGTGGAATTCAAAATTATGAGTTTAGTGGTCCTTGAGGTCAGAAAGGTTGGTGACCACTGGCATATGCTAGACCGTGGAACATTGCATGACAGTCACACAATTCATGCGATATTACTTTGTCACATGCACTTGTGCTATGACCTTATATCTCAAAAACCAAGTCATGGATTCCCCATGTTTTATTAGTTTTGGATTCCTCATTGCAATTAATGGCAAATAGAAAAGTTTAATCAAAATCAATTGAACAGATTTTGAGAATGAACACAATTCTGTAAGCCACATAGAAGCTTTGCTAATGTTCTGCTTCAATAATTTAATCAATTAAGGAAATATGATTATCTTAACCCTTAATTACCATTGTGCTATATTTGTTACATTTACATCATCATGTGGTCTCACAGACTACTCATTATTTAATAATATATATATATATATTTTACAAATATCAATTTGGTGTTTTAAACTGTCTTTTATGTTATAATGTAAGTTTGAAAAATAAAAATTTATTACAGAACCATTGATTTATTAACGTTTTGTGCTTGCAACAAAAGTAACCTAAATTATAAATCAAAATAAAAAGTCGAATAAAGTTTAACATCTATTTCAAAAATTAGAAGATATTCTAAATGAACATTTATAAAGTAATACTGTTTGATAATATAACATGAATAAAATATTTTAATTTTAAAATAACCGCGCATTAATTTTAGAATAGAAAAAATTTTTAAATTTTATTCTATAATTATTGCTCAATGAGATTGGGGCTTTTTGTGTTTTTACTGGAGTACTGGTATTAGGATTAACGAGGCCTGGATCGTACCCCTACCATGCAATGCATGTCACTACATGTACGCATTACTTGATATTTAGCAAATTTAGACATTACATTTGTTACAAAAATTGAAAGATTCATTTATTGTTCTGCATGTTATAAATTCGCAGCCATTACATTGTAAGTACACAATTATAATCTCTATTTAACAACATGGAAACCAAATTTTGAAAAATTTGCTGAAGATTTATTGCAACAAATATCCCATTAAATTTTGTTAGAAATTATTGTAGAATAATTTAAANTTCATCCCCAATTAGTCCGGATAATCGAGGTTCTACTGTACATAAGCATATTCTGTAATTCTATTTCAGTAATTCTATGTAACTTATCAAATAATAAATAAATGTATGTACCTGATTAAATTTATTATTATTTACGTAAAATAAGTAATTCACTTTTAGTTATAATTAGTTAGAATTTTTTTATGGCACTCAGTTATATGGGTTATAAGGCTGGGCTGTATACATCTAACACAGTAATTATAAAATTTACATACAAAAATATAAGAGGTACTTGAGAAACAACTAATGGGCTAATGGGGTACATCAACAAAAAAAGTTGAGAACCACTGGTCTAAAAAGAAAGGTCGGGTTGTCTGAAGTTTTTACTATGGAACATTTTAAAAGAAATAAATGATGATCACCCAAGTTTTTGAAAATGACTACGTCTTTTTATTTAAAAAAAAATGAATAAAATAATAATATAATTATTTTGCACATTCCACACAAATTTTAGTTCTGCATTCTAGACATATTGGATTCTTGCAACATCTTAGTATTTTGTAAATCAACTAGTACTGATTCTCTAATGCATTTATTATCACTTATTTCACTATCAGTGTTATAAGATGATGATTAGCCTTTATCATCATTCTTATGAATACTTTATACATTGCCTATATCTCTAAAAGATGCTTCATACTGCTTGAAAGACATTTCTCACAATCTGAATCACAATATCAAATATCATTTTCAAAAAGGAAAATTTTTAAAAAATCCATGAAAAGAAGCCATATTAGATATGAAAAAAATATACTATGTTCATATTGTGGTGTAATCTTTCAGACCACCCCTAAATTTTAAACTTGTGAAAATTGAAAAGTACTGATATAGAAATAACAAGCACACTTCTCAACTGCATAGTGCATACTAACAACAACAAACTTTAACTTTATGTTAGTGAGGAATCCTATAACAATGAACAAGTCAAGTATTCTTGACTTGTTCATTGTTATAGACATTGTTATAGTTCATTGTTATAGACATTGTTATAGATATATTGCATGACAGTGATTGAGGGTTAAGGCAACAGGGAGTGATCAGGAACAATTGTACACTGTCAGCAGCCTTGTTCTCAATATATAAGAATAACAGGTTCTTGTGCAAACATAGTTAATAATGTTAAATGTTACATTCTTTATAAACATATAAGCATAATGGAAAATATCAATATTCAAACTCACCATTAATAAAATAAAAATAGGAAAGATAATTTACATAAACAAAATCATAAAAAAAACAAATTTAATACATGAAATTTTTCCATTACAACTAATTATTTAAAGATGCAAGCAAGCACATACATTAGATTTTTGGAAAAGTATTCTCTTTTTTCTTCAGATACTAAGTTTGAGCAAGAAGTAAATGAGCACAAGTTCAAGACTATTTAATTTATTAATGCATATGATGCCCTGAATTTCATGAATATATTAAAAATAAATCTAAAAACTCACGCCAATGTTTGTATAACTTATGGATACAAATTCACTGAGTTCAGCATTAATAAAGTTCCTTTAGTATTAACACAGGCACTTTTGACGAATGTATAATCATCGTCTTCAGGTGAAAAGAACAAATTTTAACAAGACAAACGTGCAGGATGTTCCAAAGGAACAGAATATTTAAATTCAAACAGGCGTCCGGAAATTCCATTTAAGAACATGCAAATAATTTTTGATATGTTCGAATTTTTATATTTTACGATGCTAGCGGCGCATGCGTGGAAATGCTACCGCGTTGGTGATACGATGTTAGGTGCGTTTCGTTTTTTAGGCACCGATATAAGGTAATCCACACTCCGGGTAGATCGAGGGTGGAAACATTGCACGCTTCTGAAGTAGCTGTGAGAAGCGCTTCCCAGATAAACACAAGCCTTTGATTGTTGCAGCATTTAATTATTTCCGTTCTGGGCCATAACAGGTTGTAGCCTTGCTCGAGAACTTTTTTAGCCTGTTTGAATTTAAATATTCTGTTCCTTTGGAACATCCTGCACGTTTGTCTTGTTAAAATTTGTTCTTTTCACCTGAAGACGACGATTATACATTCGTCGAAAGTGCTTGTGTTAATACTAAAGGAACTTTATTAACACTGAACTCAGTGAATTTGTATCCATAAGTCATGAATATATTGAAGAACTTTATAAAATTTTAAAAAAAACTTACTTTTAACATAAAAACTAATGGATTTTAAAGTTTAAACTTTTTTAAGTTCTCTCTTAGGTTCAATTTTTATAACATAAAGGAGGCAAAATAATCTTAAGACAAGGTTCATAACACACATAACATGCATGTGCTTTTATAATTTTTTATTTTAAATATTTTTTAGTATTTAAATTGTTAATTGTATTTGTAATGGATTATATAGGAAGAGTTGATTGTATAGTCTTTAGATGAGATTTTTCAACTTAAAAGTAATTAATATTATATTATTCAAAATGATTTTTCATGTTTGTTATCTTTGAGGATATAAATATTTGGAGTCATGAATTAAACAAACTTTTTAAAAAATTGAAAGATTTTTATAGAAAAGATTATAATTATTTAATTGAAAATAAAGCAAAATTTATTTTATGATAGAAATTTCAGTACCTTACAATTTCTTATAATTTATAACTTTCATTAGGGACAACCAGGTCCAAAAGGAGATAAAGGATTGAAAGGTGATATTGGTCTTCCTGGATTGATGGGATCTCCTGGACTGCCTGGACCTCCTGTAAGTAAATTTAAAGAATAGAAATAAATTTTTTCTGTTTGTAAATCAATAATTTGTATATAAATATACTGTACTTTCATCTAAGCTAATATACTTATTTAAAATTAATTCAAACATACATGTTTCAAATATGAAATCAAGTAAACGTTAATTCCATTTGGTGTCAGTACTTTTGTAGTCTATTCTAAATAATACTAACAGTTCTGTAAATTGATTGAACTAACACTTGTTTCCATTTGCATGCTGTCAGGGTAAGACGGGCAGTAAAGGTGAAAAGGGAAACAAAGGAGATTTGGTATGTAATCAAAATTATAGTAAATGCATAATGTACTTTAATTCTTAATTTGTGTTTATGGAGAATTCTAAGTTCTAAATGTCAAGGCTTTGTGTATAAGATTTTGGTTAGAAAACTTTTAAATGTTTGCTGTTTAATTGTTTATCAATGATTTAAAATCATATTGCAAAGCTAATTTTGTTAATTATAGAAATGATGTCTAGGCATAGGCAGCAGTCTAGAACCATCTCCACATGTAGTCTTAATAGGAAATTTATCATGTTAAACAATATTAACCTGTTGCAAAATGGTGAATAGGCATATTGAGGGATGGAACTAAACTGTGGCCTGACTCTAGAATTTGTTTCCATAATTGACTTGTTTGTCTTTCAAACACAAACTACATTAACAGAATATTATTTGTTTGATGATTTTCCTCTTCTTCTAAAAACAGTGAAGTCCTATAATAAACTTTATATTTATAATCAACTGAGAGATATAGCAGATTATTTGTTAAAAACTGAGCCATGGAAATGAACAAAAAATTTCCCTTTTAACATCTTTGAAAATAAAAGCAATAAAATGTACTGTTGTATGCATAAAATGCAATATACTGTTGATCAAAGAAATAAAATATAGCTATTATATAAGTCACAAATATTAAAAATGATTTATATCTTGTATGAAAATACTATCATTGCAGTTCTGATTACAAACTAATAATAGTTGTTAGCAATTGCATCTTATAATACTGTAATTTGGTACTGAATCAGATCAGGCTGAAATAAAAGGTAAAAGGATACATTTCTTATTGTGCTATATTTATATTAAAATTTTATTAATTCTATCAATTTGTTTTGGGTAAAAACTTTTAATGATAATATTAATTACATTAAAAGTTCCTTACTTAAATTTTTGTATCCTTTAACAATATGATTGAAAAAGTTGTAAAATAACTATAATATATACTTTGTTTAAAAATACAAAAATAACAATTTTATGCTGTTAAAAATAAAAAAAAATTTATTCTAAATTGTCACATATTCTTATAGTATTTATCTAAAAAGTTTAGCCATCTAAAAATAAATAGATAAATTTAATGTTTCATATTTTCTTCAAGTGGCCTATATGGTTTATCTATATAATGTGAATTTTTTCATGACAAGGATATGAAATATGTCTGTAATAGGAGAAAAAAGTGTTTGTTTGAAGAAATGAATACATTTTTGAAAGACTTTGAGAAGAATTTATATGATTTTGATATAATCATTAAAAACATAATAGTTTTTGTTTTATACGGAACAGGCTCATAATTTCAACCCATCTGATTCTTTACACATGAAAACAGCTATACATTTAAATTTAAAAGCTATAAAAAACATTCCATAGGCTGACATAATATAATGCAATAGTCTATACAATCATGAACAAGATGATGCAAAATACTATTGGTTATGCAATTATTCAATAAATGTATATATTATAAGTTTAAATTATTTTTACCTTCATTACAATTCAAAAATTGAAAATTTCCATTTTTTTGGCAGTGTTTCTAAACAAGCAGCAGTGTACATGAATATATTTTTGAATATATATAACAATAATAGATGAATAATCTGAAACTGCTTAACAAAAAAAAATGATTCTCTTTAAAAGCATAAAAGTGATATTAGAAAGAATCTTTGGAATTAGATTATTTATTCTTAGAGGAACTACATGCCATAAAAAGTTTTCCAAATTTTGTCTGACCTTATCTCTGTAAAATATTTTAAAATAATGACTGTCTTGTCATTTCCAATTGTTGAAAATTGCTGGGAAAACTTTTATTATTCATCTTTATATAGATAATAAGAGAATATTGCAATTTTATATATATCTACTTTTCAATTTACTTAAAGTTTCATAGTAAAATTTAACAAATTATTTTTCCATGTATATCATTTTTAAAAATATGAAGGCTATTTTTTAAATAAGATCCATTTTTTAATAAGAAGAAAAATACTGTAAATATCATTAAAATATATTTTTTCCTATATTCTACATACTTTTATCTACTTTTCTTCATAATTTCCATTTTTGTTCAAACATTTGTCATACAGTTTTGTTCAAACATACCTCTCAACAATTTTTTGAATTCCAACTTCAAAGAAATCGGCCACCTGTGAAGAAGCACAATCCATGACTACAATTTCACTTCTTTGTCGTTGTTGAACTGTTGACCACCAAGGAACTCTTTTAAGTATCAAAACAAGTGAAATCTAAGTCACATTCTTTTAATTCAGTCATTCTCATGTATCTTGTAAACAATTGTATATATAGAAATAAATTCAATAATGATCAACTAGATAACATAGAAAGTTATAAAATTTTATTGCATGTGTAATCTTATTTGTAATTTACTTGATTGAACACCTATGTGAAACATTATTCTAATGCATGTTTTCAGATATCATAAGTTTCAAATTTCATGTCACATATTGTTGTACATTTATTCCCTCCCATCTAAAAACTGTAATGTAATAGAAATTAGTAACATTTGCTTGCAGACAGAAATAAAGTTTCAGTCTACAAATTTTAGTGTATATTACTTAATGGCCAGATGGCTGAACAGTTGGGGTGATCTGGAGGACCTTGAATCAAATCTGGGCAGATCAAAAAAAATCCCAGGAATTTTTTGGGTGGGTGATCTATCCCAGTAATGTTTGGCCCTGTCTATTACCACCCAGCTGTCCCATTGAGGGCCTGGCTGAATCCATAATGGGATTGATTAAACAGATCCTCTCAGTGCTCATAGGGCAGACAGTTAAAAAAATAAAATGTATATTGTTGATGCTTTTAACATGTGTAATGCATAATTCAGGCATTTTAATGTGTATATCACAGTGCATATAAATCTGCTTTTAGTTATATTAGTCATTTGAGAATAGGTTGAATATCTCTGGCGACCTGCCAGAGGTATTAAAGAAGCAAAGGAAAAGAAAGTGCATAGCACCCAAGCATTTTTAATTTGTTCTTTGGCTATGTGGGGTTCTTAAAGTTGTTGTTTATGTGTCATTTTTCATCATTTTGAAGCCAGTTACATAGCTAATCATATAATTCTATTTCTTAGCATCTTATGTATTAAGCAAGCAGACCTGCTAGAATGCAATGTGGACAGGATGCTAACTAAGCTAAAGACCTGATTTCCTTTATTACATGAATATAAAATAATACTAATTTCTTTTTTTATTCAGTACACCTGCCAGTATACTGAACAAATTATCTGGAATTGAGGTTTTTTTTACAGACAATGGTGACAGGGAAAAAACAACAAAACAATTAAAACCCTTCTCTCCTTTATGTACAAATTGAATCTCTGACTTCTGAAATTAATAGTAATGATCAAACTTGCTCAAGGATGCTTTAAAAAATTTACAAATGAAATTTTCCTTGGATGATCTGTAAAAGTGTTGTTCCTGATGGTGTTTGAAGTTACAATGAAAGAGGACACTTTTACAGTTCATCCAATGAAAATTCCATTTGTAAATTTTTTCAAAGTTTATACTAATGTCCTGGCTAAAATCTTTTTTATTAAATTGATCAAGGATGATTTAGGAAAAAAATTAAAAATATGTATTTAAGAATGTAAAATATACAATATTGAAGACATACAAGAAAATGTTTTGAGGTCTTCTAAACATCTATTTACAATCATTGGAACACAATCAACACTGGCAGTGTTGACCTTCTTTTATAGGTTCTTCCTTACCTATACTTATGAAAATTGTATAAAAGTTTCTATGATGTCCACTGAGTGTGTTACATTTTTAAATACATATTTCGTTATGGACTTTTAACTTTTATTTTCTTTACAATGAAAATTTTGAAAATATCCAATATTATAGGAACTTTTAAATAATTTGCATAAGTATAGGCAGGGAAGAGCCTATAAAAGGTCAACACTGGCAGTGTTGATTATGTTCCAGTGATTGTGAATGGATGTTTAGAAGACTTAAAAACATCTTTTTTTGTGTGTAAGTCTTCAATATTGTATATTTTTACATCTTTTAAATAAATGACTTGTGTAATTTATTTTTAAATAATATCATACAACTTTAAACTAGAAATAAATAATAAAATAAATTTATATATTTAATTGGCAGATACTAAGCAAAACTATTATTATAAAAGGTTAAAACTAAAAAAGATCATATAAAAATTAAAATTAAAAAAAATTGAAATTTTAAAAAATATTTTAAAAATTACTTGAAAACAATTAGTTAATAATCAATTCCATGATTAGATGATTATACAGTCTCAATTAATCATTCATCATTAACTGGCTAACTTAACAATTGTTCCATCATTAATATATTATATGATTAAAATGTTATTGTGTAGAAGGAAGTATAAGATATTTATTTATTAAATCCAAAACATTTTTGATTTATAGATACATATTCATGAGAACATAATCTACAAATGAGCAATTATTTATTGTGATATCATCACTATGTCAGGCTGCAATTTTTAATCATATTTTTAATTTATTTAATTTAAAATATATGCTTTCCACCTCAGATTATTAGTAACGGCTTGCCCCTGTACATCATACTTTTCCTTTAATAATAGAATTGTGTCAGTCATGTATTAACCACTTTCAGGGGAAAAGTTTTGAATTGAAATAGTGTGATTTCCAGTTTGCATTGGAAGTTTGTATATAGTTAATTGGGGTCTCCTGCCTCTAAGGTTTCCATATCTGGTCTTGTCTTTATCTATTTAACTCCATTCTCAAGATTAAGGGAAGACAGATGGACAAACAACAGTGAAAATTTATAAGACAATGTAGACATTGAGGCAATTTATGCTGGGCTAATGTAGACATTAGCCCAGCAAAGTTTGACATCTATAACCTGGAGCAATCATAAAATGGACAAATGACTATATTGCTAATTAGTCAGACTGTGCACCTCTCTAAGCAGAAAATCTAAACAAACTTAATATAAACTTATTAACTAGTTATATTATTTATTACAAATCAG